CCAGTGGTGGGTTTCAAAAAAACCTCTTCTGTAGGTGTGGCCTGCTTTCTGGGTCCACTGGTGGAACCTCTTCTAACCGGTTCGGTAGATTTGATGAACCAGTTCTACCGAATAGGTGTGAACTGGTAAAACCCAGCTCTGGCACAATGAGAATATATCTGCTAAATATAACTCCACACTGGTGACAGGAAGGGAATCTGGCCAGTAAACACTTAGCTCCATTCAGTTGCCCAGACGCCATCCCATAAGGGATTTTGAGGTCATTAAAATAAGATGATGATTGTAACTAAATACTAGAATTGAAAAGCTCCACAGTGTCCTTTTTTCTTTCCCCTTCTTCATTTCCAATTAAGGGTTGTTTTCAATAATGTTTAGTTCAACCCTTGTGATAATTCATTGCTGTTATGAATCTGGAAAGGCTTGTTTTGATCTCTTTGTTCTCACACTGCCCTATATTTCATTCTTAGGGCATTTCCTATCGCTCTCCATCAGTGACTGACCCCACGCTTACTGTGGAAGCCCTAGATGAAACCGTTGCTGGGTTTGATACTGTGGAGGAATTGCTCAAGCACTTTAATCCAGAGACATGGCGAGAAGATCTGGATCACCTGTACACAGAGAGCGCCCCACCTCGAGGCAGAAGTTTCTATGAGAGGAAGTCGAAAGGTAAGAAGCAAAAATGGTTGGATGGATGCACGGCAGAGTAATCTGTTCAATACAATGTTAATTTTGTGACTGACATGGTTAAAATCCTTGGAGTAGTGTTGTAAAATTTTAGCAACTGCGCATTAGTCCATATTTTCGTTCAGTGAGAATTAAAATTCTTAACAACCAATCTACATAATGAACATTGGAGAGATGTTTGCAGCCTATAAAAGCCACCTGCTCTTACAGGTGCTGGTGCCAGCTGTTCTTCTAAGTGCAGTGTGATTTTTTTTTATTTTTTTAAAGTGATTATCTCCCTCTTATACCGCAGCGAGATAATTAAGATGGTTGTAGAGGACAAGAGTAGGTAGATATACTACTGGTAATTAGGACATCCGTGTCTTATACGCAGCAACTGGCTTTAACATAAAGCCCTAAAAGCATTTGTTCCCTGGAAAAATGGTTAGCGATGTCCAGATTTTATTAGATGAGCCCAAGGCAGCTGGATACCTCAGAGGACACTTTAGTTAGTTGAGCAAACTAAAAAAATATATCCTGCCTGAGGCAAATACTTATTCCTTATTACAGTACTATATTCGTTTGGGAAATTCAGCATCCAATGTAACATATGCATTACTGTTCAAAATGGTAACATCTATGAGTCTTGATGCATTGTGAGTTGTCTTTTCATCATTTTGATTGAGAGTACATGCATGTATGTATGTCTACATACATACGTGTGTGTGTGTGTGTGTGTGTGTGTGTGTGTCAGGGTATAAAAGTCACAATATACACCTCTATTTTCTGGAGGATGTGTCTGCATGTGTATCTCTGTTTATTAATGGCGAACTCATTTTCCAAACACCCATGTGGCCAAAAAACTTCTACCCATGCCAAAAAAGGGGATGCCAGCAAGCTTTGGAAGACCTAAGGTTTGAAAAAATATGAAAGGATTCCAAAAAAGAATGTAAAGAGGTCTGAACACATTGTACATGCTCATCATATAGAATAGAATAGAATAGAATAGAATAGAATAGAATAGAATAGAATAGAATAGAATAGAATAGAATAGAATTCTTTATTGGCCAA